GTTCCGCGCGTTTTGATTTAATGTCTCATTGGTGAATTCTTTCAGCTGTGATTGTTGGTCCGATTGCGGCAGCCATTGTTGTGGTTGGTAACTCATTTGTAATCGTTGGTCTTTTTCCTGCGCATTTTTTCTGGACTTTCGTCTGCCTGGTTAGGTATATTTACAAAACACATCGTTGACTTTGTTGCGATTATGCTTTGCCTTGAGTTTGCTGATTTCGATTCTGTGACCATTGGGGTTTTCGTTTATGTTATGTTTAATTTCAGAACCAAGAGGTTAGGCCTTGTTCTTAAATCTGTGGTGCTGGTTTTCTTGCCCCTGCCACTCATCCTTTGGCCGATTGTTGGCGTTATTGGAAGCTTACTTGGTGGGATTGGATATGGGTTTTTCGTTCCCCTTATTGCAACTTTTGAGGCAGTTGGAGGCGGCATTACTGACAAACTTTTTCACTCTGTTGCTGTGAGTTCCATTTCCTGTTTTGGCATTTGGTATATTGGGCTAATGGCATGTTTGGGAGTGATTTTGAAATGGTTTAGATCACTTTTTTGTGGTAAGTTGTCATGAAGCTGTAGGATCATAACTCTCATTTAGTTCATAATCATTTTATTTCATATTCTCATTTATTTTGGTTATTAACTTTGATTTAGTTCATGACCATTTTGTTTCATATTCTCATGTATTTGGTTCATCTATGAGTATCGGTATTACTATGCCTGCTTGTCTAGCATTTTTTTTTGATATGTGGAGTCATTGTCATTTTGTATTTGTCGGCATTTGGGTTAAGATGTATTTGTCTAGTGGCATTTGGGTTAGATTTGGAGTCGAGTGGAGTCATTGTCATTAGTATTACTATGCCTATATAAAGGCTTGTCTAGCATTGTTTTGAGATGTGGAGTCATTGTCATTTGTATTTGTCGACATTTGGGTTACATGTATTTGTCTAGTGGCATTTGGGTTAGATTTGGAGTCGGGTAGAGTCATTGTCATTTTGTATTTGCCTAGAGTCAATTGTGAGGAACTTTGTAAGAAAGACTTTGTAGTGTGAGAGTGTGAGAGATACACTTTCTGAACACTTTGGTTATAGTGATTGACTACCACTTGTGGATGTAGGGGAATTTCTGCTCTTCCAACCACGTAAATTTTTGTGTCTCTTTGTTTAATATTTGTTTGTGGGTGCGTGAGTGTGATCGATCTTACTTCCGCTTCCGTTACAACAATTGAGTATCAAAGCATTTTTGGTTGTGGCATTCCGCTACCACTTTTGGATATCAAAACATTTTGGTTGTGGCATTAGAGCACACCATTTTGTTGTGATTTTCTAAATGAATCATTTCTCTGTGATTACTGCATATTTATTTTAATCCTTCAGTATATTCGTTTGATACTCACTGGCCTGACAAAAAAAAAAAAAAAAAACGTTACTACACACAGGATGGTTGTTTGTCCACAATTAAAGCAAGCTGCGTAATTGTGATGGATTTTACAGATTTCTGTTTCCATTCTTATTTTTCATTCATGGATGAACTGGGTGAGTTGATGTACAGTGATGAGAAGCCCATAGAAGTGAAGTGAGTGCTTTCTTCTCCTCTCTCCCTTCTCAAATATTTAAGAACTTTATTGGAAGACTTACATTCGGCCTTATCCTGGTCAGGCTATCAAGACTTCCAAGTTGTTTATTGGCCAGTTTGATTGGTGTTCTAGTTGATTCTCTTTTAATTACTTTAATTGCCCTGTGGAGAAGTCCATTCATGTTATTCAAAGGATGGAAGAGGATGTTGGAAGATTTGGTTGGTAGAGAAGGACCATTCCTGGAGGCAGTGTGTGTTCCATTTGCTGGTCTTGCCATCATCTTATGGCCCATTGCTGTCGTTGGAGCAGTCATAAGTGCAGTCGTCTCTAGCTTTTTTTTGGGGCTCTATGCTGGAGTTATCGTTCATCAGGTGCTCTGGGGGCAATCAAACTGTTGCATCTTTGCAAATTGTCTGTGTGTTTGAAGTTGAACTTGATAATATGTACATTTTGCAGGAAGACTCGTTTCGGTTGGGACTGGCTTATGTATTAGCGGTAGTTTCGATGTTCGATGAGTATGTGAATGATCTACTCTATTTGGGGGAGGGGTCTTGTATTCCCAGGTGAATATAGTTTCTGCCCTTTTTCCTCATCTTCTTGGATGCTTGTGCCACGAGTTTCAATTCTGTATTTTACTATTTGTGGCAGCCAGGCCAAAATATCGTAGAAACATGAGCTCCGACCTCAAGAAGGAGCACCACAGCGATGACAATAACGATCAGAGAAGTATAAGACATGGTTCAAGCAATCATAAACTTGTCTCGGAACAATCTAGGACATTGAAACAGGCGATCCAACAATACAAACCCGTCCAGGTAATGCTGTAAAGTGGTGTAAATCCTAATCTTTCTTATGTTGTATCATTCAAATGTTTGTTGGCCACAGTTTTGGGATTGGCTGTTCAAATCCTGTGAAGTGAATGGTCGAATACTTCTCCAAGACGGTCTGATATCGATGGAAGACGTTGAGGAATGCATTCTAAAGGGCAACTGTAAGAAGTTAACCGTCAAGTTACCAGCATGGTGTATATTACAGTGCTTGCTTTCCTCCGCAAAGTCGAACTCTCCCGGGTTAATCATCTGTAAGTCTTTTCTCCCAACTCCGGGTTAATCGTTTAATTATATGGATTTGGTTACATTGAAATATACATGAACTTCCAGCTGATGATGTGGAGTTGACAAGAACAAACTTGCCAAGGGACACAATGTTTGATTGGTGTCTTGGGCCATTGTTAATTATGAAGGAGCAAATAAAGAGACTAAATTTAGAAGAAAATGAAGAAACATGCTTGAGAATATTGATAATGAGATGCCGAAACGAAAAACCCGAGGATTGGGATGAGTTCGCCTACCCTTCTAGCGACACGGTCCGGAGAGCGCAGTTGCAAGCCATATTTAGAAGGTTTCTACTAAATGCTGATGTTGTTGAGTATCGTTTTTTAGGTCATCTAAACCATCATTCTCTTAACAGATTACAGGGTATTGTGAGTTTCATGTCGCGAATCCCAAGTTTTCGACGTCGATTTATGAACTTGATCAAGGTATTGTACGTCGAAGGCATCCAGATGGGCAGTTCAGCGACGGCTGCAAGAGTTAGAAATGGTAGGAAGCGTTTAGGAAGGAGTAGGGATGGAAGAAATAGGGAAGAGGAAACAATAAACACAGCACAAAAAGCTCTCAACGTTCTTGATGTGTAGTATGAAACAGGTTCTTCTTCTTCCTTTTTCCTGCTGCCTACCTGTTTACTGAATCAAATGATGATGCAAATATTTGGACAAATAGTGTATGGTTGTAGCTCTAGACGTTCATTTTACTGGCGGGGACCTGCCCTTTTGGGGCGAAAATTCTGTGTAGACGAGAAGTAAGAGAGGGAGTGAGGAATGTCTTTGTCCGGTAGATAAATGGGGTTGAGATGTTTTTGTCTTCGATTTTAACCCTTAATAGAAATATTGTATATATATATTTTAAGAGATAGTATTCTTTAATTCTAAATTAGTCCGACTTTCATTCCACACCTCCTCTCGAACAAACTATAGCTCCCCTTGATTGGAGTTGGACTCTTTTTCTTTTGGAGTGTTAGTCATTTTTTACTATGTTTTCAAGACTTACAATACTAAGTTTGGGATATAACTCTAATACCAAGTTAGTTGAATACGGCTCTCTACAATGATATGATATTGTCTATTCTGAACATAAGCTCTCATGTTTTGCTTTGAACTTCTCTATTAGGCTCTCACGGTATTGCTTCGAGCTTAATTATTTTTCTAGCTATTTTTTATTAGCTTAAATTTTTATACTCCCCAAACAATCCATAGATTTTAAATTTGTTGTACATTTTATCTTTATTTATTTAACTCTTACACTTTCTAATTATAATTCTCAAATAATGATGAAGTGGAAATGACACGTGTAATTGACTTTTAACTCCTAAATTAATTAAAAAAAAAAAAAAAAAACAACAACAATCCCTACGCATGATGATAATTATTTAATCAATTATTGATAACTTTATAGTTTACTTAGGTGTTGCAAATTTAAAAGCATTAAAAGTAGTGTGTTTAAGAATGATTCATAAAGTCATTGTCTCGTTTGACGACAAAACAATATTTATTTAATCAAATTTTAGATAAAACAAAAAATTAAAATTAAAATTGTATCGTTCTTTGATAGCTAGACAAAAATTGTTGTTTTGATAATAAAATAAATTATCACAAAATTTCCTCACTTTTTTAAAATTTATAAAAAATAAAGTATTTATTAATTTTCTTTTCGATATTTTTATTATAATATATATCTTATCGATATTTATATTATAATATATTATAATAATTAGTTTTCTGTTAATATTTTTTTCCTTTATAATTTAATTAGTAGTATATTTTATTTTTAAGTATTAGTTGGTAGCCTATATTAAATATTAATGAAAATTGGACTTTAGATTCCACCGATGTTTGTTGCACTTTGGATCCAAATTCCATTTCTCATTCTTAACCGTTAGTTTAATTTTAAAACTTTTTATTGATGGACGACGTATGAAAAATAATAACTTTTGCAAATTTTAAAAATATATATATTAAAATTAAATGTTATTTTTATGTTTATTTAAAATATTTTTTAATAAATAGTTGGAGCTGAAAAAATTTATTAAGAAAACAATAAAATAAAGTTTTATTATTAAGAAAATAGAGAAGCAAGTATTTAAAATATTAAAATAAAGAGGGGGCAATCTATGACTTGAGGGATAATTTATTTAAGATTTGTCCAAAGATATTGTAACAAATGAGGATGTGGGTCTCACCTAATATTTAATTTAGTATATAAAAATCCAAACTTTAGTGTAAATATATTTAAATTTAAATTAAAAAAAGAAGAAGAAATTTTGATAAGTGAAAAAGGAAATTCCACTTGGGCTATGCTGGTGCCACTTGAAGCTCTGCTTTCTCTCTCATTGCACTTTTATTCTGTGAGAAGAGAGACCTTTTTTGCTTTTGGAGCCTTTTTTGTGATATTTTTATGTACACTCATCATATGCCCACAGCCACATCTGCCCTCTCATCCTTGTGACTCTATCCACCTCAAACATACACATTCAAGAAACCTCCAGCTTCTAGGGTTTCTTTCTTTCTTTTTTTCTCCTCTTTTTCCTCCTATTTTCTTCTTTTATTATGATCACAACCTCCTTCTTCTGCTCATCACTTTCTCCTTTCTAAGGTACTTGTCTTTCTTGCTGTTTTTTTTTTCCATACCCTGTTCTTCCCCTCCATGAAATCCTGTTTATTTCTCTTTTTTAGAGGCTTTTGATCTTTTATTTGAATTCTCATGCCTTGATTCTATGTTTTTGCTTCCTTTTTGTTGACCCCTTTGATACCCACAAATTTATTTGTGGGTATTTTGTCTTTTATTGTTCTTGAGATGATTTCCATGGAGTTTTGGTGTTTAATTTGGTCTGGGTTGTTCTTCTAAACTGGGTAGCTTCTTGTGATGGACTGTACTTTTTTGATCTGTTTTGATTTCTTTAGAGCTCCAGACTTTCTGGATCTACCCATATGGTTTTGTTTTTTGGCAAATTATGTCTATTTAGGTGAGCTGATTTTTTAAGAATGGTTTCATATGTAGTTTTCATTTATGGTGTTTGAGCTGGTTTGTTGCAGTAAACAGTCAGATGTCTGGTTTATGTAGCATAGAAATTGCAAAAGATGTAGTACTAATCTGTGTCATATCAAAATTTTGAAGGTTTTGGAAAGAAATTCACCACATTTTGTAGTTCTTGAAGAAGCTACGCTTTGGTTTTAAGGTTCTCTCATAGTTTGGCAAGAGTTCTGAAGATTTGAACTCAGAGAAATCTGTAAAGGGCAATTGCAAACATGGGTTTCATGTGTGATTTTTGTGGGGCTCAAAAGTCGATGGTTTACTGCCGATCTGATGCTGCTTGTTTGTGCTTATCGTGTGATCGGAATGTCCACTCGGCTAACGCCTTGTCGAAGCGTCATACAAGAACACTGTTGTGTGAAAAATGTCATACGCATCCTGCCGTGGCAAGATGTATTGATGAGAGGATTTCTTTGTGTCAAAATTGTGACTGGACGGGCCATGGCACATCTACCTCAGCTTCATCGTCACACAAGAGACAAGCCATCAATTGCTACTCTGGTTGTCCATCAGCTGCAGAACTTTCTTCCATCTGGTCCTTTGTTTTGGATGTTCCCTCTGGAAATGATGCTTGTGAGACAGAGTTGGGATTGATGAGCATTGCAGAGACCGACTTGATGGGCGCTGGTCAAAAAATGCTTGGGTCAACTGAAGCCAGTGACGTTTGCAGCCGGGAAAAGTCAAATGTTTTGGATGGATCATCTTCACTCACTGATTTTCGCTCTAGGCCGCACACTTCAGGCCAGCCAGTTGAATTGGCTAATGTGGCTTTACCCAAGGTGAATGATAAATTTCTTGTTCTTGATTTTGTTTCTAAGTTTATTGTTAAAAAACCTGCAAGTATAGTTTCTGGCATTCGTATCGAGGCATTGCACGTTTTTCAGGAGGGATGTGTGGCACGTCTTATCATACGCCATTTTTTTTGGATAAGAAACAATTACAGAAAGCTTTTCCATAAGGCCTTCTTATTAGAACCATCAATTAAGTGATATTAGTGATGACATTTTCTTGAATTTTCCTCTTCATGCGCAGCTACCACAACCATCATTTAACATTAGACGATGCTCGAGATTCTATTTTCACCTTCGTTTTTTTCACATTAAAGTGTCTTTGAATAATCACTGAACTCTTTCACACCTTCGCTCCATTCTGATTACAAAAAACATCCTCACAGCACTTTTCGATAGATTTACTTGAGAAATTGTGAACGATAGTGTTGTGTCGGTAATACTTCGAGTCTGAAATTTAAGCTTTGAACTTTATATTGTAAACACATTATTAGATTTTTTTTATGGTTGACTGTTGTTATATGGAACTAAATGCATGTTGCTGCAGATTTCCCAATTTCTACTTATTGGTTCTTGTCAAGGATCTTTTGAGGCATCACATTTTTGGCATGCAGTTTTGCTGTCCTGGAACGAAAGTTGCTGGATTCTTCGGTGAAGGCGATGACCTCTACAAGGAGTTTGATATGGATGAAATGGATTTGAATCTTGAAAATTATGAGGAACTATTCAGTATGAGTCTTAATCATTCTGAAGAATTTTTCGAGAACGGTGGAATTGATAGCCTTTTCGACTCAAGAGGCCTTTCGTTTGAAGATTCAGTTTGCCACAGTGCAGTTGCTGCAGAGGTACTTGTTTTAATGGATGCATTTCAGTTGCTACAAGTTTCTTTAGCCAATATTTCTGCTATTGATCTTCCATTGTATCTTCTTCTGGCTTATGGTATGCTTCTCCCAATATGGGCGTGATCACTTGAGGTATCACTACCATATAGTTTGGTCTTAACTCTTAAACGTTGTTCTCTCTATGAGTACCGAGCTGAGCTCGGTTGACTTGATATACAAGATTCAGAATGTCTTCTGGTAAAGTTAAAACTAGTGAGATTTGTTTAAGATTAATTCGAGTCAAAGCACAAGCATAATATCAATCTTTACTTGAAACAGGGGCAGAGTGAAGAAGAATTGGTACCCTTCTTAGTTCGTCTTGAGTGAAAACAATAAGGTCGAAAAGCTAACGATTTTAAAGTTCTCTCTAATTTTTCCCCTCTAAATTTTCAACATTGAAGGATTATAAGCAAGAAGCTAGAAGGTAAAATTTTGCCGATTCTTAAGAACTTTCGACTCCGGCTCTAGGTAGATATATATTCCTCAACTATTGGAGCTGACATTTTTCAGATAACTGGAAGTCAAAATTCTCATATATGCATAAAACCGTGTTTTGAGTTTTCATCTTTATGAGGTGACACTGCATTTGGACCATGTGAGATCCCACGTTAGTTGGAGAGGGGAACAAAGCATTCCTTATAAGGGTGTGGAAACCTCTCCCTAGTAGACGCGTTTTAAAACTGTGAAGTTGACGGCAATGCGTAATGGGCGAACAATATCTGCTAGCGGTAGGCTTGGGCTGTTAGACCGTTATCCCATATATAGTACATAATGCAATGGCGTGGTTTCACTTTGGAAATCCTTACTGGAACTGAATTAGCCTTCTTGTGCAGGGTTCTTCTGTTGGAGTGGTCAAACCAATGCAGCCAGACTGCAGCAATGGTGCATCTGCTGACTCGGTGATGAGTACTAAAACTGAACCAATTCTCTATTTTAATTCAAGGCAAGCCCAATCGGGTGTGTCGTTTTCTGGCCTCCCTGGCGAGAGTAGTGTTGGTGAATATCAGGACTGTGGAGCCTCTTCAATGCTTCTAAGGGGAGAGCCTCCATGGTGTGTCCCTGGCACTGAAAGTTCCTTCCCATCTATTGAACGTAACAATGCTGTTCTGCGTTACAAGGAGAAAAAGAAGACGCGCAAGTAAGTTGTCTCGCCTCTTTCGCTTCTGATTCTTGAATTTAATAGACAGATTCTTGCCTTTCTTCCTGCCGGGCTCGGGCTGGCGCGAGGCAGTAGATTTTCTTGTTTTCATTTCATTGCCTTCATTAGAGCTAAGTTATTCCAGTCTCGAGAGTGACACTGACAAACCTCTCGTCTACATAATGGACTTTAAGTAACGGTCAAAGCCCACCATTAGCAGATATTCTCCTCTTTGGGCTTTCCCTTCCGGGCTTTCCCTCAAGGTTTTAAAATGCGTTTGTTAGGGAGAGGTTTCCACACCCTTATAAAGAACGGCTTCGTTCCCCTCTCCAACTGATGTGGGATCTCACAATCCACCCCCTTTGGGACCCAGCGTCCTCGCTGACACACTGCATGGTGTCCACCCCCCTTCGGGGTTCAGTCTCCTCGCTGACACATCACCCGATGTTTGGCTTTAATACCATTTGTAACGGCTCAAGCCCACCACTAGTAGATGTTGTCCTCTTTGGGTTTTTCTTTCCGGGCTTTTCCTCAAGGTTTTAAAATGCATCTTTTAGGGAAAAGTTTCCACACCTTTATAAAGAGTGCTTCGTTCCCCTCTCCAACCAAGGTGGGATCTCACATTAAGACCTATTTGGTTCTTTTGTTAGGAATTGACTTGTCACACTACTAACTCCTGTTTTCCTCAGCTTCAGCATAGATCATCATAATTTCCAATCCTCACTTATGGTTCAATGACCTTGTAGGTTCGAGAAAACTGTGAGATACGCCACTCGCAAAGTGAGAGCAGATGGCAGAAGACGTGTGAAGGGACGGTTTGTGAAGGCAGGAGAGGCCTATGATTGCGACCCACTGAACCGGACTAGAAGCTGCTGAGTACAATTTTTAACTATGCTTTACAAAAAGGAATGAATCACTCTGATGTTTGTTTGGAAAGATGCATTCTTTATTTATCAAACCAGTGGATGATTTCGATACATGATGAAAATCTGTCTGATTATATCTCACAGGAAGCTTCATATCACCAGAAGACAAAAGGTGGAGTCGAAAAAGCAGTGCAAAAGATTCAACGACTAAACTTTCCGTTCCGGGGCAGATCGAAAAAGGGTGCATAGATCAACCATCCAATTATACAGACAGCAGAAGATTTGCCCCAAGCTTTGAGTAGTAGTTGCCCATAAAGGTCAGCTCCTCTGCAAATATCTGTTTAACTGATCCTTGTTGGGCAGAAACTATACTTGGTGACTGTTTTTTTGTTGTTGTTCTGAACTGAAACCTGGCTTGTTGGGTGACAAGACCACCTTTGCCAAAATACTTTTTTTTGTCTGTATAGCACACAATCAGCATAAACACATGAAGTTGAGTTGAGTTAATAGCAGTAGAATATGGTTCCAAGCTTGAACATAAGATTTTCTGCTGTTTCCCAGTTCTTGTAAATGTAAGATGATAAATTGCATGTGGAGTTGAAAGGGATTCGGTCATTCTTCTCATGTCTTGTAAATTCATATTTTATCTTCTTTCCTGAGTCACTGACCCTATGAATGTTAGCTCTATTGATGCTGTAAGTAGCTCGAATGCTTCACTGTTTATTTCAAGCTACGATTTTGCTATTCTACTTCCTACGTGTCTAAAGTCTTTTGTAATAGTCCAAGTTCACCGTTAATAGATATTGTCTAATTTGCCTCGTTATGTATCGTCGTCAACCTTAGTTTTAAAATGCATCTATTAGGGAGAAGTTTCCACACTCTCTTCCCTTTTCCAACCAACGTAGAATTTCTCTATTCCACCCCCTTGGGGTCTAATGTCCTCGTTGGCATACCGTTCGGTATTTGGCTCTAATGTCATTTGTAACACAATGCCTGTTTTGATGCGTTACGTATTGCCATCAGTCTCATTGTTTTAAAACGTGTCTACTAGGGAGAGGTTTCTACACCATGTTCCCCCTCCAACCAGGGTGGGATGTCACAACTCACTCCCCTCGCTGGAACATCGGCACATCGCCTGTGGTCTCTGGTTCTAATACCATTTGTAATATATATTGTCCGTTTTGGCTTGTTATGTATTATTGTTAGCCTCACATTCTCACAACTCACTCCCATTTATAAGGAATGTTTGTTCCCCTCTCCCCTTTTCACTTTGTAAGCTACCTACAAGAGCAAATACTCGGAACTCCTTTAGTAATCGAAACTCCTTTAGTAATCGAAGTATAAAATTATATGGATTCAAGCCTTTTTATCTAATAGACTACGAGTTAGTCACTCCCTCTTCTCTACACAGAGCAGTAAAAGATCACAGATATTAGAAAATGTGTGATCCCATATTTTGAAGGCTTCTCAATTGTTGCCACTTGTGCATCCTTGTTTTTCGATCAATCTTTAATTCTAATTTTCCTCCCCAATTAGATATTATGGAGTCGGTATAGACCAAAATTTCGTTATGGTTCAATTCTGACCGGTAATAGATACCGGGGCTTTGCAATATTTGACTGATCACAATTATGTATAGTCCATTTACTATAGAAGTTCTCAGGGAATTCATTAGAGGAATGTTTCCAATAAAAATTATTTGTTCTTGGTTTTTGAAATTAATCGTGCCGATACGTATAAATCAGAAGAACGCCACGTGGTCAAAAGTCATAGCTAGTGAAATTTGTATTACAAGGACAACTCAGAGCCAATTGGCGACATGTGGCATGATCACAAGATGATGGATCCATCACAGGATAAGGCCTTTGTGAATGCCGTACTGGGTTATTTGTTTGAATGAGACATAGCTAGTGGATACCCTTTACGCTTCATTATCATATTTGAACATCACTTGTACTATTTCTTACATATTTTTCTTAGCAAAACTAATCCTATAGGTGCAGGTTCGATTCCTGTTCTGAGACAGGTGGGAGGTGAAGGCCGTAAGAGAAGATTTTTATGTCAAACCCCTTTGTCTTTATCTTGATATTTTAGTGCTATGTTCGAATTGACTCTAAAAAAATTATGTTAATATATTTAAAAAATATAAAAGTTGCAATTGTGAGGCTCAGTACTTCAACTAGTCCCCGTGTTCCTCGAATGGATCTCTTAGTTGTTGAGAGGGTTGCCCAAAAGCAGTATATAAGGCATACCCAGTAAAACTTACAAGTAAACCAGATATAGAGATGGCAACTAGGGTTGCTGTTTCCATTATTATATAATTTCAAGACCACAATGGATCTATGATAAGATCATTTATTTACAACGGAATGGTATACAAAGTCAACAGATCTCACTGAATAAACAAAAATATAGGATTATCTCCTCAACCGGGAGTTCCACCCGAGGAAGCAGGGGCCGTTAGAGCATTGAGAGGACCTTTCCCTAGTACGAGAGGACCGGGAAGGGAATTGTTTTCAACACATCTGAAACCGAAAGTATGGTCTGTGCTGCTTCTTTAATTAATCAACTGATCACAACGTGACATCCAATTTGTAGAGTTGAGCTGAAGAAAAAAAAAAATCAAATTTAAAATTATTTGACTAATTTAATCTTCTTAAATGATTGCTTGATTTTAGAACTTAAAATAAACAAATCCACATATCATATTAATTTTTTAATTCTAAATTCAGTTCTCAAGTTTCAAGAAGCTATCAACTAATCTACTAAATAAATTAAAATGTAAATATTTTATTAAACATTAATATAAAAAATCTATTAAATATTAAGTATAAATAAATAAATAAATAAATAAATTCATTAATTAATGAATGAATTGCCAATCACAAAATTCTTTCCACACAAACACAAACTACAACCAAAAAAATATCTAAAATCTATCATTTTAATATAGTTAATTGCATTTAAATTATTTTGTAAAGAACCACTTTAAAGCTGGTTCGTTAAAAAGTGATCGACCCTGATATCAATTTAGAATAAGCTTTTTGGGTAATTTAGAATTTGTAGAATCAATTTTAAATACAATACAATTAGGTAAAACGTGTGATTAAAACTACTCGGAAGAAATTGTGAAGATCTACGTCGGTTAGAGAGAGGAACGAAACATTCCTTATAAAGGTGTAAACCTCTCTCTAGTAGACATGTTTTAAAACTATGAGGTTGACGGCAATATGTAACGGGACAAATTGAACCATCTCTCTAGTAGACGTGTTTTAAAACTATGAGGTTGACGGCGATATGTAACGGGGCAAATCGAACAATCTACTAGCAGTGGGCTTGAGCTGTTACAAATGGTATCAGAGACACCAAACGATGTGTCAGCGAGGACGCTGGCCCCAAGGGGGTGGATTGTGAGATCTGTGTGGAAATCTCTCTCTAGCAAATCTTCTCTCGAGGATGTAGAAACCTCTCCCTTCCTTACAAGAGTGTGGAAACCTTTACATAGCAAACTCTCTCCTTATCAAAGGCGTTTTAAAATTGTGATACTGACAGTAATATAGAATGAGCTAAAATAGACCTGGACGACCGGTTACAAAGGGTTAAGATATTATAATCTCAATCAAAAGTTTAAAAGAAACCAGAAGAGACGAGAAAAGAAAGGAAAAAGAAGTGGCTTTTGAAAAGGTAATCTAGTAAGCTAGGCATAGCATGTGGATAAAGTCCAAAACATACTCATATTGGCCCCATAACTGCATATTTCCCATATTAGATTTACTGTAGAAGATAAGTGTGGAGATTAGCTAAGTCAATAAAACTACCATGCATTCATTTTACTACAAACTCTATCAGAATTCGCCATTAAAGGCAAAAGGAAAGAGAAGTTGGGTACCAAAATCATTGGGTTATCAGATTTACAGTTGAAAGAGATAATCATACCGTCATACAAGTTGCAGAGTTACTCATCCTCCGCCGCTAGTGGCAGTTTGTAACTTATAAAGTTGGTAACTTTGCCTGGACCTGTGGTCTCGACCAATCTACAGAATCCAACCAAAAGAAAAAGGGAAACCAATGAGATGGAAAAGATTTGATTAGGGTTCAGCTCATGATATAAAGTAACCATGGTTTTGGGGTTTTGGCTATGGCAGAGTGTGGCAGAAGAGACAGAAAGCTAACCAGGGTTAGAGAACGTGGGTTAGTCTTCTTCAGAGCCGGAGAGGTAGGTTTGGGGTTTGTCAAGCTCCAGAGCTTTACAGGAAGAAGAAGGAAGCTGCTGTGTGTATAAAACCACCCAAAAAGAAAACCCTCTTTGTCATTAACAAAACATGCAAAAACGGAAACAAACCTCTCAACGATTCTGTGAATCGCGATCATCTCTTAGCTCTTCCTCTTGTTAATCTCTCTTCTTCTCATCCTTCGCCGGCGAGCCTCACAGATTTTGGTATGGTTTCTATAGATTCGGATTATGATCTTGGTTTCATTTGCTGATCCGATGGGGGGGGGGGGGGGGGGG